GTGTAGAGTAGAACTCCTCCTGGAAATCGTGTCCATGTAATTTCAGGTGAGTCAGGTTTGGCATGGAACACAGAGCATCTGCTAGTTGATGTGAAAAGGCTGATGTTGGACACTTAACATGTACAAGCTGGACAGCTTGGACCTACATATATGCAAACAGTGATTCAAAAAAAGTACTTTACCAGAGAACATTATTAAATTAAATGACTTCAAATATAAATAGGTGCTCCAATATACATGTAGGAAGAAAAACATCTAAACCTGTATTCACATTTCTGCTTGTACATGAATAAATATGCAATTATAGCACTTTTTGAAGACATGCACATACTAATTGTTATGTAACACCTGACCGGTATATTTCCGATTTCAACGAAAATGGTATCAAAATGTGCATTAGACTTGAGGATTTTTTTTTTTATGAAACAACAATTCAAAATTCCAAGCGGTTGCGGCAAAATCTCCGAAATTACAGCGGAGGGACATTTAAGTACTACATACTACATCGTGTTGCATTCAAGGAAAATATCCTACCAGGTACCAACTCACTACACCTAGGTCGATTGTGGCAAATGTAGATGGATATCTAGCCAAACAACATTGGTGCTACGTACGGCAGGGATTTGAACCCCATACCTCATGGTTCACTGTCCAGAGACTTATCCACTGGAACACAAACACCTCTACATGAACCATGGTTGATACTCATAATTTTAGGATGTTTATTATTTATATGATTGATTTAAATAAATAGAGCTGCATTTGTGTTCCGAGATTTGAAGATATAAAAGAAGGAACTATCACTATATCGGTTATTTGGACAGATTTTCGACATTGCCTAACTGCTATTACTAACACTATGCACCATACAGGAATGTATATGTAGAGTGTGTACATGTAGCTGTGCTTAAAATAAAAAACACTGTGTTCAAGATCTCTATCACTGTTTTATAGTAAGTATTAACTCTGAAGTATACTTTGATACTACTTTCAGACAGATCATGACCTAATTCCGACATTATGTATTCCTATAAACTTTAAAAGGTTTTTTTTTTAAAACATATTATTTGTAGACACTAGTCTTTAGAGCACTTCAGTTATCTGTTAATACTAAATTCTACTACCCCTACTATCAAAACAACACTCTACTTTCCCCAAACATTCTTACTTAAACACATCCTGTTAGTGTCCATCAAAAACCGAATCCAATTTCTGAGACAAACGCCTTAACATCTTGTTTTGCAGAACATTATATTTTTAAATCGAGCTATATGAATTTTGTATCATACACTGCACATGAAAGACCCTTTTCATAATCATGTCCTTTGTCTAAGACTATTTTATGATTTTTCATATAAATCATTACACACATTGAAATAATCTTGACTGTTGCTAAAATATCATAACTCCTAAAACTCATATCCACTTTTACATGTGTACAAAATGTATCATGGCATGGATATTGAGTACAAACACACCTACATACCTTTACGGTTGAAGCCTTTGCATTCAGTGTAGAATAGAACTCTTCCTGGAAATCATTTCCACGTAGTATCAGTTGAGTCAGGTTTGGCATGGAACACAAAGCATCTACTAGGTGATGTAAAGAGGCTGATGTTGGACACCTAATGTCAATGAGCTGGACAGTTTGGACCTACATGTATACAAGCAGTGATTCATACAAGTACATTACTAGAGTACCTGTTTTAATTAAATTACTTCAAATTTGAGTAGGTGCTCTGATATATATGTATCTGTAGGGCTATACTCAGGTGACAAATGATCAGGGCTTTTTAAAGTCAAATGTATCGGATTAGGATGATGGCTGCAAATAGGTTTGACCATAGGTTTAGTGATAGGTATACTTTTTGGTGCAGGATAAAATCTACAAATTTGGTTAGTGCAGGCTAGTAACTAGTAAGCACATACAAAATGTTGACAAAGCATGTGTCCCACAACACGAAGACCTACAATTACAGCCGTAGGACATTTAATTACTTCATAATACATCGTGTTGCATTTAAGGAAAATATCCTACCAGGTACCCACTTACTGTGTGTGTGTGTGTGTGTGTGTGCAGAGGCGGCGGACCCGGGGGGCAGGGGGGGGGGGCATAGTGCCCCCCACTTTTTCAAGTACCCAAAAAGTGCCCCTTTAACTTTGCAAGAAGCGCCCCTTTTTACATAAAAAGTGCCCCTTTTACTTTGATATGTGCCCCTGTTAATTTTTAAAAGTGTCCCCTCTCTTTTCCACCTCTGATATGTGCCCCTTTTATTTTGACACGTACCTCTTTTCCCAAACAAGTTCCCAGTTTCCTTTGCAATAAGTGTCTATTTTCCATTCTCATAAGTGCCCTTTTTAATCTCTAGTAAGTGCCTCTTTTCGGATACGAGAAGCGCCCCTTTTCACTTTTGTTAAGCGCCTCCTTCACCTCTGATAATTGCCCTATTCAAATCTAAGAGGTGCCCCTTTTACTTTGACAATAGCCACATTTACTTTGACAATTGCCCCTTTTCCTTTGTAAGAAGTGCACCTTTCCCTTTTAATAACTACCTCTTTTTAACTCGGATAAGAACACCTTATATCTTCACATGTGCCCCTTATCCTTTCTAATAAGTGCCCCTTTTTCTTATGATAAGTGCCCCCATTTAACAAAGAGCCCTTCGCTTTTTCATAAATGCCCCTTTTCACCTATGAAAATAGTCCTTTTTCAATAGTCCTATTCAATTCTGAGAGACAATCGTTTTATTTTGACAAGTGCCCCCTTTTCCTCCTGATAAGTGCTCTTTTCATCTCTAATAACACCCCCTTTTATTTTGACACGTGCCCCTTTTCCTTCCTAATAAATGCTCTTTTTCCTTCAAAATTCCGCTTTTCATAAAAGCCCCCTTTTACCTCCAATAAATGCCCCTATCAAAATCTGACCGGTGCTCCTTTTCTTTCAACAAATGCACATTTCCCTTTATTATTAGTGCCCTTTTTTGATTCTCATAAGTGCCTCTTTCATATATGGTGTTTGCCCCTTTTCAGGTGCGATAAGTGCCCCTTTTCACCTCTGATAATTAACCTTTTTTAACAATGATACGTGCCCCTTTTCCTTTCTTATGAGGAACCTATCCCTTTTTCATAAATGCCCCTATCAAAATCTGATGGTTGCCTCTTTTCCGTCGACAAATGCCCAATTTCCATTCACATAAGTGCCTTTTTATCCCTGATGAGTGCCCCATTTTCACCTCTGACAATAACCCTTTGTACTTTGACACGTGCTCCTTTTATTTTCTAATATGTGTCTTATCCCTTCGATAAGTGTCCCCCTTTCCTCTCATCATTAAACGTGCCCCTAATTTCAAGCGACTAAGAGCAATATCTCCCAAAGCTCGCTCGCTACGCTCGCTCACATTTATAGATGTTATAATTCGTCGCCGTTTTCACGAACCGGCACAGCCCAACGCGCAACGAAATAAGTACATTCTGAGAAAAACGCGTTTTACGTTTAGCCCGTTTTGAATTCGCCAGAAACATGCCTTATGTCAAATTTTATATCACAAAATACATATCAATGAAAGGAAAATATTCTGTATTTTCTATACATTCCATTTGTTAAGCATAATGACAATTACTATTAATATTACGAAGCTTTGGACTCTCGTGCCGGTTCGTGAAAATATTATTTTGCTGTTTACGTAGCAAAAATATTTTCACGAACCGGCACAAGCCACTGTGTCGTTTTTCCTATGTAACTTTACGCGCAAGACAAAAGCGCTCGCGCTGTCTTAGCGCGTATTTTATTTTCACGAACCGGCACAACCGCCTGTGTCGCGTCGTCTAGGTCTTGTAAGCGCAAAGATATTTTCACGAACCGGCACAGCCCATTGACTTATAACGGCGCGTGCCGGTTCGTGAAAATATGAATCGTGCTTTTTGGGTCGTGTGTCGTTTTTGTCATTTGTGTAACCATGGATATCTCAAAAACTAAAGCGTTTTGGATGCTGAAATTTGGTGAGATGAAAGATTGTTGATAACTTATGCTAAAAATGCAAAAAAAATAAAAACTACATTTTGAAGGGATTTCGGTGGCTTGTGCCGGTTCGTGAAAACGGCGACGAATTATTTAAATTATCAAAGGTCTTTTCAGTTTGCTGTTATGAAAATGTGCTTATTTATAACCCGATGAGGATTGTTTTTTTCCTCTTTATAAGATGTAGTTTTCGCACTGTGACCTCACAAATCTTATATTTTTCGTCGCTCGCAAATGATTTTTTCGACCATCACACCCAATTGCAAGGTATGATGCTTTAAAAAGCAATATTTTATACGATGTATAAAGAGAAACAGATATTGAAATCATCCCTGATAATGTAATCAAATTTTAGGGGTATATACCAATGTCTAAAATTCTTTATTTTCGCTTTGAGATTTCCCTTTGTAGGTACCCTTTTTCCCCAGAAAGTGCCCTTTTTTGTTGGTGCCCCCCCCCCTCCCCGACTTTGGAAGTCGCTCCGCCGCCTGTGTGTGTGTAGTGTCTCTGTTTAAGGCTCTCCAAAGAACACCGTTTTTTACGCGTTTTTCTGTCAAAATCCAAATCATCATTATTCTCATGTTGTACATCTAGCATTTTTGTCGCTGTAGATTGATTTTTGATTGAGAATGTCAGGATTAAGCTGGATTCTGACTTGTTCTTCTTGACCAACTCTCACTTGCTCAAGTAAGCTCCCTGTCTTCACTGTCCCACTACTGTATCCTGATTGGAGTTACAGACCAGGAAGCATCTCCAACTCATATGTTGGGAATATAGGAGCCTTCATCCTAAGTGCTAGCACTAGCATCTGCTCAAGTATACATCTAGCAAGTGTTTTCCCAGGCAAGCACAAGCAGGTTTTACCAACAGAACATCGTCAGACCGAGAGGTATTAACTAACTCTCTCCACCATCTAAGAGTGCAAAGGAAGGGTCAAGTCCACATGTTTAGTACCACTTGCCAGTGTAAGGCTCTATCTGTAATGTACCTCACCCTACTGCTCTTAACAAATGCATCCGACATTGAACTCAATCCAGGCCCTGCCAGCAAGTATCCATGTCAGATTTGCGCTCGCCCAGTCACATGGAAGCAACGAGGTTTGGCCTGTGATGACTGTGACCAGTGGTACCATGTGGAATGCATGCACATGTCTACGCCAGTCTATGAGGCTCTAGCTTACTCAAATGTACCAAGGCAATGTGCTTCCTGTGGAATGCCACAGTTCTCTACTAGCCTCTTCAACTCTTTTGTGGCCGACACCAGCAATGCCTGTTCCTGTCTGTACTCCCACTTTTCTGATGACAATATGACAGTGCCACCCAGCCCTAGACCACCACTGGCGTCTTCATCTCCATCTCGCCAACCTACAAGAAGAGGTCACTCAGCTGTGAAAAGGAAGATAAGATTCTAACTGTAAACTTCCAGAGTGCAAGAAATAAACGGGAAGAAATACATAACCCGATAGATTCTTCTGATCCTGATATCATCCTGGGCACAGAGACTTGGCTCAATAGCAACATCCACATCGCTAAATTGTTCCCTCCAAGCTATGAATTAATACGTAACGACCGCTCTGATGGCTACGGTGGTGTCCTCATAGCGCTCAAAAAGGAAATCATTTTTGAGCGACTACCCAGCACTCCTGATGCTAATGTGGAAGCAATCTTCATCAAAATAAGCCTCCCCAAGAAGAACTTCCTTATTGTAGGTGCCTTGTACAGACCTCCTTCTAGCACCCCAAAGTACATGGAGGATCTCTGTCAGTCTGTAGAAAGCCTACACAGTCATGACCGCAATGCTGTCATCTGGTTGGGTGGTGACCTGAACCTACCGGACATTGATTGGGAAACGCAGTCGTCATCAGGTAACCAGTATCCTATGTCAATCAAACAACGGTTTCTGGAGATGCTTCAAAACTGCGACCTACAACAGATGGTCTCCTTCCCTATAAGACTTACCAACTGTCTTGATCTCTTCCTGTCGAACAGACCTACTCTTCTTAGCAAGTGTGCTGCGCTTCCAGGTATAAGTGACCATGATATTGTACTAATAGAATCCTCTGTTGTATCAAGTAGGAACAGATCAGTGAAGAGGAAAATCCTTCTGTGGAAACATGCCAACATGAAGGATTTTAGAGAAGACTGCCTTGCCTTTCAACAAGCCTTTACAGAACAATTTGACAGGTCAAGTCCAGTGCAAGTCATGTGGGACAACATCACAACCACTGTCTCACATATGATAGAAAAGCATGTACCATCTAAGATGACCTCAACATGGTTCAACGAGCCTTAGATCACTCGTTCGCTGAAGCAGCTGACCCACAGGAAGAAACGTAGCTTCGATAGAGCTAAGACCAGTAACAGTTCTGAGGACTATGAAAAATACTTGAACGTAAAGAAGCAGACAAGGAAAGCCTGTAGAAATGCATATCACAAATATGTTGAAGATATCGTCAGCTCAGATTCAACTACCAACCCAAAACGTTTCTGGAGCTTCATCAACAGCAAACGATGTGACTCGTCTGGTGTAGCCTCACTGAAATCTACTGATGGCCTTACATATTCAGATAGTGTGTCCAATTCAAACATCTTGAACAGTCAGTTCTCATCTATTTTCACCAGAAATGAAGACATGACCAACGTCAAGGACATGGGCAGATCTCCCTATCCATCTATGGAAGCTATTACTATCCATCCAGCTGGTGTGTTAAAGATCCTGTCAGAGCTACAGATCCACAAAGCAACTGGACCTGATGAACTTCCTTCAAGGGTCTTGAGGAGTTTAGCCCCTGAGCTCACACCTGTGCTGACAGTCCTTTTTCAAGCATCCCTTGATCAAGGAGAGGTCCCAGATGATTGGAAGAACGCAAATGTTGCTCCTGTCTTCAAGAAGGGTGAACGGTGCAAACCAGAAAACTACAGGCCAATCTCACTAACATCAGTAGCATGTAAAGTCCTGGAGCACATAGTTCACAGTAGCATCATGGATCATGTCAAGGATCATGACATACTCACCGATGCACAACACGGATTCCGAAAAAATCGATCTTGTGTCTCACAACTTACTCTTGCCATCCAAGATCTTGCCAAGGGTATAGACAACAGGGAACAGCTTGATGTCATCCTCCTAGATTTTGCCAAAGCCTTTGGCAAGGTACCACATGGAAGGCTTCTTCATAAGCTGGACTCTTATGGCATACGAAACTCCACACATGGATGGTAAGCTTACTTTCTTCATGATCGTACACAGCAAGTAGTCCTTGAAGGACCTGTCTCTACCAAGTGCCAAGTGACATCTGGAGTTCGGCAAGGTAGCGTTGTCGGCCCAATGTTATTTCTGCTTTTTATCAATGACCTGCCAGAGTACCTGTCATGTGACACCACTGTTAGACTCTTTGCAGATGACTGCCTAGTCTACCGCAACATTGGATCAGAAGCTGACAGTGCGCAACTCCAGGAAGACATCAACTCACTGGAGCGATGGGAAGCCGACTGGCTTATGGAGTTCAACCCAAAGAAATGCCAGGTCCTCCATGTTTCCAACAAACGCAAGCCTATCATCAAGTCATATATCATTCATGGACACACTCTCAAGACTGCAGACACAGCAAAATATCTTGGAATCCATCTACACAAGAAGCTTAGTTGGAATTACCACATCGACCAAGTGACAAAAAAAGGCTAATTCCACCCGAGCCTTCCTCCAGAGAAACATCAGATCATGCCCATGTAAAGTCAAAGTGCTCTTGCTACCTTATCTTGCTTAGACCAGTTATGGAATACGGAAGCATCATCTGGGATCCCTTCACCCAAGCCAACATCAGGTAATTAGAGATGATCCACAGGAGATACGCACGCTTTGTTTGCAATGACCATCACAGAACAAGCAGTGTCACAGCCATGCTCGACTAACTACAATGGCCATCTCTGGAAGAAAGGCAAGCCCAGGCGAAGGTAGCGATGATGTTCTGCATTAAGAATTCACTGATTTCCATCCCCCTGGCAGCCCTGACTCCATCACTACCTGCTTCGCAAAGAGGCCGCGACCAAAAAACTCCAAGTGCCATATGCCCGGACACAAGTCCTGCAAAAGACTTGTTTTCCTAATGCCACCAGGCTCTGGAACTCACTACCCCAGGCCGCCGTAACCTGTACCTCTCGAGAAGAGAGAGGTACTCAAGATCCAGCTCCGTTAAGCAACGGATGTCTTTTTTTAGCTACACATAGTTCTTTGCAGGCCTTTTATTTAGTCACTATATATACACCTGCACAGCACCTACATCAGTACTAGAATACACCCGATGGGGGCCTTTACTTATAGCGAAGAAGAAGAAGACTACACCTAAGTCGAGTGTGGCAAATGTAGATTGATGTCTATCCAAACAGCATTGGTGCTACGTATGGCAGGGATTTGAACCCCATACTTCATAGTTCACTGTCCAGAGACTTATCCACTGGACCATGAAGACATCTACATGAACCATGGTTGATACTCATAATTTTAGGATGTTTATTATTTATATGATTGATTTAAATATATAGAGCTGTACTTGTGTTTGGAGAATTGAAGAAATAAAAGAAGGAAATATCACTTTATCGGTTATTTGGACAGATTTTCGACATTTCCTAAACGCTATATAATACGTTCATTACTAACACTATGCATCATACAGGAATGTATATGTAGAGTGTGTACATGTAGCTGTGCTTAAAATAAGAACACTGTGATCAAGATCTCTATCATTGTTTTAAAGTGAGTATTAACTCTGAAGTATACTTTGATACTACTTTCAGACACATCATGACCTAATTCCGACATTATGTATTCTCATAAACATTAAAAGTTTTTTTTTTTAAACATATTATTTGTAGACACTAGTCTTTAGAGCACTTCAGTTATGCGTTAATACTAAATTCTACTACCCCATACGTAGCAAAACAACACTCTACTTCCCCCAAACATTCTTACTTAAACACATCCTGTTAGTGTCCATCAAAAACCAAAATCCAATTTCTGAGACAAACATCTTAACATTTTGTTTTGCAGAACATTATATTTTCAATTCGAGCTATATGAAATTTGTATCATACACTGCACATTAAAGACCCTTTTCAGATAAATTTCCTTTGTCTACTAAGACTATTTTATGAGTTTTCATATAAATCATTACACACATTGAAATAATATTGACTGTTGCTAAAATATCATCACTCCTTAAACTCATCTCCACTGCTACATGTGTACAAAATGCATCATGGCATAGATATTGAGTACAAACACGCCTACATACCTTTACGGTTGAAGCCTTTGCATTCAGTGTAGAATAGAACTCCTCCTGGAAATCATTTCCACGTAGTATCAGTTGAGTCAGGTTTGGCATGGAACACAAAGCATCTGCTAGTTGACGTGAAGAGGCTGATGTTGGACACCTAATGTCCATAAGCATGACAGTTTGGACCTACATGTATACAAGCAGTGATTCATACAAGTACATTACCAGAGTACCTGTTTCAATTTAATGACTTCAAATTTAAGTAGGTGCTCTGATATATATGTATCTGTAGGGCTATACTCAGGTGACAAATGATCAGGGCTTTTTTAATTCAAAAAATGTTGACAGAGCATGTGTCCCACAACACAAAGACCTACAATTACAGACATAGGACATTTAATTACTACATACTACATAGTGCTGCATTCAAGAAAAATATCCTACCAGGTACCCACTTACTACACGTAAGTCAAGTGTGGCAAATATAGATTGATGTCTAGCCAAACATCATTGGTGCTACGTACGACAGGGATTTGAACCCCATACTTCATAGTTCACTGTCCAGAGACTTATCCACTGGACCATAAAGACATCTACATGAACCATGGTTGATACTCATAATTTTAGGATGTTTATTATTTATATGATTGATTTAAATATATAGAGCTGTATTTGTGTTTGCAGATTTGAAGAAATACAAGAAGGAACTATCACTATATCAGTTATTTGGACAGATTTTCGCCATTGCCTAAATGCTATATAATATGTTCATTACTAACATTATGCATTATACAGGAAATTATATGTAGAGTGTGTACATGTAGCTGCGCTTAAAATAAGAACACTGTGTTCAAGATCTCTATCACTGTTTTATAGTAAGTATTAACTCTGAAGTATACTTTGATACTACTTTCAGACACATCATGACCTAATTCCGACATTATGTATTCCGACATTATTTAAAAGGTTTTTTTTGTTTAAACATATTATTTGTAGACACTAGTCTTTAGAGCACTTCAGTTATGTGTTAATACTAAATTCTACTACCCTATACGTAGCAAAACAACACTCTACTTCCCCCAAACATTCTTACTTAAACACATCCTGCTGGTGTCCATCAAAAAAACAAAATCCCATTTCTGAGGCTAACACCTTAACATTTTGTTTTGCAGAACATTATATTTTCAATTCGAGCTATATGAATTCTGTATAATAAACTGCATATGAAATACCCTTTTTATAATAATTTCTTTTGACTACTAAGACTATTTTATGAATTTCAAATAAATCATTACACACATTGAAATCATATTGACTTTTGCTAAAATATCATAACTCCTTAAACTCATCTCCACTGCTACATGCGTACACAATCCATAATGGCATAGATATTGAGTACAAACACACCTACATACCTTTACGGTTGAAGCCTTTGCATTCAGTGTAGAATAGAACTCCTCCTGGAAATCATTTCCACGTAGTTTCAGTTGAGTCAGGTTTGGCATGGAACACAAAGCATCTACTAGGTGATGCGAAGAGGCTGATGTTGGACACCTAAAGTCCATAAGCGTGACAGTTTGGACCTACATGTATACAAGCAGTGATTCATACAGATACATTACCAGAGTACCTGTTTTAATTAAATGACTTCAAATTTGAGTAGGTGCTCTGATATATATGTATTTGTAGGGCTATACTCAGGTGACAAATGATCAGGGCTTTTTTAAGTCAAATATATCGGATTAGGATAAGGGCCGCTAATAGGTTTGACCATAAGTTTAGTGATAGGTATACTTTTTGGTGCAGAATGAAAGCTACAATTTTGGTTAGTGCAGGCTAAACTAGTAAGCACATGAAAAAATGTTGACAGAGCATGTGTCCCACAACACAATGACTTACAATTACAGCCGTCGGAGATTTAATTACTTCATAATACATAATGCTGCATTCAAGGAAAATATCCTACCAGGTACCAACTTATTACACCTAAGTCGAGGGTGGCAAACATAGATTGATGTCT